CCATTAAGCAGGTAGCTGGTGAAGGCTGTGTTCCCGCACCCGCTACCGGCTACGCTGCATCTGGCTACCTACAGAATGGCTCATTCATGTTGCGCCTGTATGGCTTCTTTTGAGCCCGAGGACGGCCACGACCGCTGCCCCTCCTGCCTCGGCCGCCTCTGGCGGTCAGTGTAGACGAAATGTGAGCATCTGAGGGAGGTTCTCACGGTAAACGCCTGCATGAGCTGTAGCTGCATGCCTCGGCGCTCAGAGTGGCTAAAATCACTGAGGTGGAATGTCTGGCAGCAGCCAACAGACACCTCTCCTTGTCACATCCTCCTCTAGATCAATTCGTCCGTTCCCGGCGACTTGAGGGAGCGATGGCTATGTGTGCTCCCCCCAATAGAAGGACTAGAAACAGGCTGTCCTCTAAAGTGGATCGGCTAGCTGCCGATAGGGGCATGATGAAGTCGCCTCTTGGCCCTTCAGCCTGGGCCCGGTGTAGGGGCTGCTAGCGGTCCGCCTGCCCCCCCTTCGGTTGACGCCCCTCCTTCGGTTGGCGCACCTCCTTCGGCTGCCGCACCTCCTTCGGTTGACGCATCTCTGTATGAGGACGCCTTGTCGCTGGTACAGACTCGTCGCCAGGTTTTGCTGGCCCAGTCACCACTAACGGAGGCATGTAGGAGAGTCCTCCGTAGCGTACCAGTCGAGCCAGGGGAGCTGTTTAGGTCAGCTGCCCTGGAGGCACTGGAGCGTGCCGCCCAAGCTAGGCAGACCAGGCAGCAGCTCTCGGGTCTTCGCAGACCTGTGCCCACTCCCAGCAGGCCCAGGGGCCGCTCTAGCAGCCGCACTCAGCCGCCGGATTACAGGGGTGGTCTGCAGAGGTCTTAGCGGCCCACTCAACCGCCTCCCAATGACTTTCGTGCCCCAGGTCGCCCGCCTTCCAGGCGGCCTCGTGCCCCAGAGCCTTACCGGCGCCCCCCAAGAGGTTCCAGGGGCCGGGGGTCTGGGCCCTGAAATCCCGGGGGCGGTCGTCGGCTGCTTTCCCAGCAGCAGCTCAGTTACTGGGCGGTCTGTACTTCCGTCCCTTGGGTGGTTTTCACCTTAACCCAGGGGTACGGACCGCAGCTCCGGCCCCTAGCCTTCGGCTGGGTCTGGCAATCAAGCCAGTAAGACCCTCTGCTTAGCCCAGGGGGTTCTACTCGGCGTACTTTCTCGTGAGCAAGAAAGTCGGCGGATTTCGCCCGATCTTGGACCTCAGAGGAATCAACAGATTCCCGAAGGTGCTGCCATTCTATATGCTGACCACTGCATATGCACAGGTGGAGTGGTTCTCAACCGTGGACTTGAGGGATGCCTAATTCCACATGGGCCGGGCAAGATGGTGCCTTATATTCAGTTCCTCCGGCCCTTGGGCAGACTGGCAGCTGCCTCGGCCGCTGGGCCCTTAGGCCCGCTGTCGTTGCGCCCCATGCAGATGTGGCTGAACAGCCTTCACTTGGACGCCAAGTGGCACAGGCACAGGGAAGTCAGGGTGTCGCAACATTGCCTCCACTCTCTGTCACGCTGGAGGGGCAGGGCCTATCTCCTAGTGGGCGTGCCCATGGGCGTCATCCCATCCCGCCAGGCGACCATCACCATAAGTGCGGTCTGCCCAGGAGAGTGCGCGCCAGGTCAACGTGCTAGAGCTTCGGGCTGTGCAGCTTGCACTCACGCACTTTCTACCTCAACTGGGGGGCAATAATGTGCGTGTTCCTTGGGGACAGCATGTACGTTGTTGCTTAGACAACAGTCCCTTCTAGATAGTGGACGTTCTCACTCCACTCTGAATTTATGTGGCTGCGATTTCTGCCCGACATGTTCGGGTCGACGGCGCCACGGCGGGGTGCCACAGGTCGGTGTCCCTCTTTATGAGAGGGGCTTTATGGCAGCGTCCCCCTAGCATCCCGAGGGCTCCGGCATGGGACCTGCCCCTGCTGCCGGATGCCCTATCATCTCCTCCCTTCGAGCCCCTGGCCCAGGTGGGGCTTAGGTGGCTGCCCACGAAGGCAGCATTTCTGCTTGCCATAGCCTCAGGGAAGCGAGTCGAGGAGTTGCATGTCCTCTCCATAAACAATACATGCCCGAGGTGGGACTCTCAGGCGTTGCCCTTTGGGCAAATGTGGCATTCCTGCCCGGGGTCCTTCCACAAACCCACTTCAATCAGCCTGGCCAGCTGGCACGCTTTGACATTCAGGAGTACGGCACGTCGAAGTTGCTGTGACCTGGGGGTGCCCAAAGGGCATATATCAAGGCTACTGCCTGTATACGGCAGTAGGAGCAACTCTTGATTTTGCCCTGGCGGCACTAAAGGAGGTTATGCCCTCTAACCAGTGGCTGCCCCACTGGGTTGTCGATACCATCTCACAGGCTTACGGGGCCAGTGGCCGCCCCCTGCCATCAGGCTGAGATGCCACTCTACAAGGAGCATCTCAACATCTTGGGCAGCCCTGAGGGTGGTGCCCCTGGAGACCATCTGCGCCGCGGCGTCGTGGGCGTCTTCTGGCACATTCTCCTGTTGTCATCAGGTCAATGTCGCCACTCCCCATTCTTTGGGCGTGGTCCTTTTGCCGAGCTCCGCTGCTTCCAGTGGTGAGCAAGGGCTTGGATTCTTCATGACATTGTTGGTATAAGTCATCCAGTGCTTAAAGCACCGCCTCTGGCGGTCAGTAGGGACGAAATAGAACGATAGTTACGGCTGTAACTATGGTTCTATGAGTCCCGGATGACCGCCAGAGTTCCCTGTCACTCAGAATTCTCGTGTGCTCGCGAGAAGATTCTGGGAACAGATCCGGCTGATATAGCCGGTGTCACGTGGGTCACAGGTGACTTTGTTGTTATTGGTACTCGAGCTGCTCATGCGCGCGATGGACATATCCAGTGCTTAAAGCACCGCCTCTGGCGGTCATCCGGGACTCATAGAACCGTAGTTACAGCCGTAACTATCGTTGGCAAGTATGACACACACACACACACACACACACACACACACACACACACACACACACACACACACACACACACACACACACACACATAATGTTCGTATTTAGTCTCCTGATTTTAAATGGGAATTAAATCATTTGAGTGTTCCCAAAGCACCAGTGTTCGTTCTGCAGTTTGTGTGGGCCTACTGTACTGTTGCACAGTTTTTGGAAGATTCATAGCTAACCACACTGAAGATTATGGATTATCTCATATTTTTAAGCCTCAAAATGTCCTCCCCCCCCCCCCCCCCCACCCTCTAACATCACCAGATAATTTAAGGGGTCATTTCTCTAAAAATATTTTCCACCAGCCGCCACTGAACACAGGATTTAATTCTGCGTGGACAGAGTTATCTGCTTTCACAGCAAACGATGCTGGCTTACCGGTATGTTTGATATGTAGAGAGAAGTTGTCAAAGGTGCTGCAGCCTTTACGTATCGAGGAACAACACGGGAGAGGAAGACAGCTGACGATCTTCAGTCATAATTCAATCAGTTAAAGGTGGGGTAGGTAATTTTGTAGAAACCAGCTCGAGTGCGCTAGAATTTGAAAATACACAACCGGAGAAAATCTGCCACTTCCTTACAGAGCCCCTCTTCCAACACACACGAACGCGCACATGACCAATAAGGGTACGAGATAAGTTTGTGCACAGATGGAAGGCTGACAGGCAGGTAGGCCATCCAGTTACTTTAGCCGGGCCGGCTCAGATGATTGGTCGTGCTTTTTACAGTACTACGGATTCCACAGATGAAATTTGTTATGTATTTGTTGTCAAAGCACTTTAGACATTCATTGCTATCGGGATGTTAAGAGCATTCCATGGAATATGACACAAAGTGTTTCTGAAGTGAATTACCTACCCCACCTTTAACTCGTTTTAGGGTGCAGCTATATGTTTTATATATTTCAAAGTGGGTCAATTTTAATTGTATTTATTTTCTTCAAATGCGCAGAGGACTCCCCAAGTGCTGTGTTTAATTTATTTTGCCTGTGTATAGATTTGTTGAATTCTTCTTATAAGAGTTCTTTGTTTGTTATTAGAGGTTAACAGTTTTCTATAATGTAATAAATAATAAATGCAAAAAAACTGTAGTTTTTGTCTATGATATAACAATAAATACAACTTTATAAGCTATCAAATATGTTTTGCGGCTCCAGACAAAAACAAGTGTTGGAAAAGGGGGCAAAATGGCTCTTTTGGTCAAAAAGGTTGCAGACCGCTGTGTTAGGCTTAGGGTAAGATATAGAGTATGAACATGTTTTTATGAACCCCACAGCTTCTGGTCTTCCAAGACCAGACCGGACAAAAAGACATGCTGCAGGCACGAACCATGCTACCAATAGAAATACATTGCTTTTAAAATCGTTCTGTGTGACACGAAAAAAAAAGGGGAAAATCGTGTTGGTGAACACGAAGCAATAGATTAAATGAATTTTGTGACTATAACACGAAATGCTGTGAGACTGGGTTGTGTGTTAACTGTAAAGGAATATTTTAGTCTGATGCTTAGCTGACCTGAGAAACTTCACATGAGTGACTACTCTTTCTCTGTGTGGGGGGAAGGGTTTACTGCCCGCTCAGACAGAGTTTCTTTGTCTGTTCATCTGTAATCGATTGGGGTAAAGGCCCGCGTTTCTGGGCTCCGCCCCTTCTCAGAGACCAGGTTCGAGCGCTTCCGTCTTTGTGTGGGCAGAGTTAATTTTGGCAGCTTGCATTGAACAGTGCGAGTTGCTTTGTTAATCCTCCGGCCGTTTGTCTCTCAATAAATATCAGTGTATTGACAGGCGAATCCAGTTTCCCTCATTTCATGATTGGCTCAACATTGCTGCAAAGAAGTTTTTACTTCACATTAACCACAGACCTTATTTCAGGATAACAACATGTTCCAAAGAAAGGTTGACTTTAAGACGCTAAAATGCTAACTCATATCCAGGTTTGAGGACTCACTCCTGCAGCTCTCTAGGGTGCAGCCTGTAAACATAAATCATACCTGCAAGAGACAGTAGGCGAAGACTCCTCATCCCAAACAAATGCTGCAGACCGAAATCTTGCACCTACACACACACACACACACACACACACACACACACACACACACACACACACACACACACACACACACACACACACACACACACACACACACACACACACACACACACACACACATTCCAGTTAAAGAGCACCATATGAGAACCCCAACTGTTTGTTTGACAACTTAAGAGGCAAAAACCAACGTATAACTTTGATATTAGTTAATCATTAATACTTTGAAGATTTATTGCAACAAATATGTGCATGTTGTAAAATCATTTTGCAGAATCTTGTGGAGTCATAGTGATCATTATGATATCATGTGTGTTACCTGACAGCACCAGCGTAGATAGAGGCTCCTTAATGACGACATGGTGGACAGGTAGCCCAGCCCGGTGTCTGTGATCCGCACACACCTGAAAGTACACACAATACACATGTCCTTATTGATTGATGAAATGAGAGACATAACACACACACACACACACACACACACACACACACACACACACACACACACACACACTATTTTAACAGACTGCATGTGCTCCAATTTGCAATTTTTGCTAACTTATACAGCATGTAAATATCAACGTACTCCACTCAGGGCCATGTTCATTATCTACTGTACACCGCCTCACTAAGGAGACACATCTTATTTTCTTACACTTTTAAATGTTTTGCAACTTCCATAACTAGTCTTCTCTCAGATGAGTGAAACACTTTTGCCTGGTGTGTTCTTGAACAGGATTTGCGTTGGTCTTGTTCTAAAGTTGGTCCTGACCAGAGATGGGGTCGTTACTAAAAAAAAGTAATATATTACATATTACATATTACTTTTAAAAAAAAGTAATATATTACACTACTTCGTTACTCTCTACATAAAGTAACTCGTTACTTTATTCGCTACTTTACTCGTTACTTTACTCGCAGGGCCGGCCCGCCCCTCCCTACAGGCAGATCACGCAGACTGCGGTGCACCTACAGTGTGCGCGCCACAGTTTTGCCTCTGCGAGACTCCACTTGCACCCCCAATTACTATTGCATTAAGGAAGACATAACACAAGTCTTTCTTTTTATATGCTCTAAAATAGGCTACCAGCCTACCACAACAAGCTAACAGTCTGTGAAACGTCAAGACACTAATTAATGAAACCAGTTCAAGACGAATTATTCTTATCATTCTTTATGAGGGAGGTAACGGTAAGGTATCTAATTACTTATGTATTTAGTATTCCATAACTTAGTGACAGAGATGGTCAAACTAAAGTGGTAGAGACAGAATTCCTACAATGAAGCGGGACATTGAACTGTTCACCCGTGAGAGGGCGATCAACAAAAGAGAGCGAGCGGCCCCGTTGAGGGAGTTTACGATGAAAAGACTCAGCCATGTTTATGCAGCACTGCACGTGGAGATGTGGTCTTGCAAGTCGCGCAGATTACATAGGCCTACATGTATATAAACCATAGACTGTAAACCTGCGGCGGAAACCCCTCTAGTCTGTCAGTGAGTGTGATTATTTTATAAAAGTAACGAAGTAACGCGTGTCTGGGCAATGTTAGTAACTGTAGTGTGATTACTGAATTATAAAAGTAACGCGTTACACTACTCCGTTACCAGCAACAGTGTTATTATTACAGTGACGCGTTACACCCAACTCTGGTCCTGACAACAGCCCTGCATGAACTTTGAAGGCTCACCCTGCTTAATGCAGCTCCAAATATATAGATTCACTGGCTCTAAAGTCGTCAAATATCCAAACTTGATGCAAGTGCAGAATGCTCTGAATATATTATGGCTTACTTTCATCAAATACTATTTTCACCAGAAACCTTCTTACTCTAAGTCATTGCCTTTTATTAGAGAGTTACCCCTGTTTTAAAGTCTTCTATTCGAGACTTTTACAGTTTGTGGCTTCTCACAGCATTCTACACTAATAGCATTTAGAGTTACAGTTTTAGAATGTAAAGTTACAAGTGCAGAGTTTAAGCTTCGTCTTTCCGGACAGAGGTTTGTTGTCCCAAAGTGTAGAACAAAGCGGTATACAAACAGCTGTATTCTGGCAGCTATCGCACTAATGAACAAGTTGTAGCAGAGTCACACAGATGCCTATTTATTGATTTACTTCCTTGGAATGTTGATGTTTGTACTAGTGGTTTTTAATGTGATGGAGCAGGGTGTTCTTTTTTAGAGATGTGTCTGTTGTTTGTGTTGTTTTAGAATGTGTGTCACAATGGATCCTTTTTCTTTTATCTGTAAACCAAATCTACCTATGGGTGCAAATAACTAACCCAAACCTGAGCCTATGAAATGTCCCTGTCAGTCTGCTCACAGAGAGCCCCAGCAGCACACTGACCTGTCCAGCACCAGCTCCTCCAGCTTGTGCAGGTCACAGGCGATGTACTCCAGGGCCATGTCGGTGATGCGGGGGCACCAGGACAGGTCCAGGCTGCGGAGCTTCCTCAGGTTCTCGGCCACCAGCTCCACGCCGTCGTCTGTGATTTTGGAGCAGCCGGACAGGCTGAGGGCTGTCAGGTTGGGCAGGCTGTGCACCATGTTCACCACCCCGTGGTTGGTGATCTCCCAGCAGGAGTGGAGCCGCAGGGTGTGGGTGGTGTAGCCCTGCAGGCGGAGGTTAGTTTAGTTCAAATAAAGCTCATTGAAGGCAATATGGAGCAGCTTCATTATGACCCATCACATGCCTCTAAGTGTAAATCCAGTGGAGTAAAGTGACTAAGTACATATACTCAAGTATATATACTTCAGGTTAAATAATTGTACTTTTCACATTATTGTACTTTATACCTTTACTACACTTCATTTTGTAGAAAATGTTGTTCTTTTTACTCACTTCATTTTTTATATGTAGGCTACTAGAGTATTGCTATATAATATACGTATATATAAATTGTATAAAGTAATTCAAATAAACCCAGATTTACCAGGTGCAACATAAATCAATAATTATAATACAATCATTTAAAAAGTATGGTGATCTAATGATCTATGGCGCATTCTGCAGAAAAAGTACTTTTGCTTTTGATACTTAAAGTATCATTTGATGCTACTAATACTTTTATTAGCATCAAATTATACTTTTAATACCTTTACTTTTACTTAAGTAACATTTTGAATAGTGGACTTTTACTTGTCACTGAGTATTTTTACACTGTAGTATTGCTTCTTGTGCGTACATCTGAGTACTTCTTCCACCTCTGTGTAGTTCCACACTGGACAAAAATCCAACTGCTTTTGGTGGAGGCCGCCATGGCAATGCTAACTCTCAGGTACGAGTTAGTGTGACTGCAACATCACCAGTTCCTCTCCCAGTGGGTTAGCTAGGATCATTATTCAGTGGTGGAAAAAGTATTCAGATTCTTTACTTGACTAAAAGTACTAATACCACACCTGAAAAATACTAAATGTAAGTAAAAGTACTGCATGGAGAATAGTACTTAAGTAAAAGTATTTAAGTAAAGTACTGGGAGTAAAGGTTCTTATTGCAGAAACATTTAAAAATAATAATATTTGAAAGCAAAAGCAGCAAATCTATACATTGAACTGTGAAATATTTTTGAACAAAAAACATCTTAGCAAAATTGCTGCCAATTAATGTTCAGTTCCCCACTCATGGTTTTAGTTGCTTAAATATAATGTTGGATGGTTTAATCTTTACCAATAGTTTCTCCCTAAGTAATGCATGTCAAACTCAGAATTTCTAAAGTAACTAGTAACTAAATCTGTAAATGAAATGTAGTGGAATAACAGTGCAGCTTTTGCTTCCAAATGAGGTGGAGTAGAAGTATAAAGTAGTATAAAATGAAAATACTCGGTTGAAGTTAAAGTACTTAAGTACAGTACTTGAGTAAATGTATTTAGTTACTTTCCATCACTGTAATTGTGATAGCTAATGGGTGGATGTTTGGATAGATATAGTTATTCATCTTTAAAACAGATCCCTTGATCCACACAGGTCTCTGTGAGTGGATGTGGTCAGTAGCTCTCTCTACCTGCTTGGCGGTGAAGTAGGCCATGGCGGTGTCGGTCACATGGTAGGCCTGCAGGCTGAGCTCGGACAGGTTGGGCAGCAGCTGAGAGATGGCAGCGATGGCGTCGTCCGCCACGTTGATGCAGTCGCTGACGCTAAGCGAGGTGAGGCGGGCGTTCAGGCTGGACCACAGCCCGGCCTCCGTGAAGTCGTTACAGCCCGACAGCTCCAGGTGCATCAGGCCCTGCATCTGCTCCAACATCACCTGGACACAAGATCAAATACTCAGTGACGGAGCTGCTGGCGGGAGAGAGACGGTACCTGACCAATCAGAGAAGCTGCAGAGGTCTGGGTTTTAGTCAGGGGGGAAATAGATGTCTTCCAATGGTAGGGTCAGGCGTTACCTCTGTTATCTAGCTTCTACCACTCTGTCCAATTATCCAGAGTCAGCACATCTTTGTAAAGAAAGATTTGGTTAAGCTTTAACTTTGAAATATAAAGAGGAAATGTTAAATGTATGGTCGTTTAACATCAATTGCAAACAATGTACTAAATAGATGAATGAGACAGTGATGGATGTGAGAGCTGTGAGTGTGACAGGACTCAGTCATTATACTGATACAGAGCCAGGGAAGTGCATTGTTCTCAATGTAACATGTGAGCTGTTCTAGTACAGTGTGTTTTGGTAACAGAACATGTTGCATCTGAACACACAATGATGTATTCGTCTAATGTCATCATCTTTGAGATCTTTCTGTCATTTATTATCAAATGACCCTTGGTCAGAAAGCATCACACAGTCAGCTCTGGCCTGTGTCTGGCCAGACTCACAAACTGCTGGAATAACATTTTCATTATTTGCAATAAACAGTTTTTGTAAAAAGAAGCTGGATTAAATAACATTTGTATTTAAACACTTTGAGTATACTCTCTGAGCATGGACACCTATTCTACAATACTATCAAACTAAAGCCTACATTTATTTTAGAATACTATTTTTATTTTGCTTTAATTCTTCACAAATTGAATTCTCCAGTTTAAGACGCAACAAAACGGTAGTGCACAAGCTGAACCCTGCAAAAGGGAAGTCCATATATACTGTAGATCATGCAGCTTTCACCATGGCAACCATCCACTCATCCCAGAATAGCAGCCTAGCCTAGCAGGTATGAAGGGCCATCTGAGAAACACTATCAAGCCTCTGTGTTTCCAGCAATGGAATATGAAAGCATTCATTCAGAGACTATTAGAACAAAGCTGAACCAAAACTCTGACTGACTGAATGTCTTCCTCGGACCCCCCCACTAGTGAAGACCTGACCTGGAGATCAGTTCATATTGTGTTGAAATAACCTATTGAATTGTATCTTTTTGGCTCATAAGGAACATTTTCAACAGCTGTGAGTCCATTATTAAAACAATCTCTCACGGTTTGTGTTCACACTAACACTTTTCAAATCAAATAGTGATTTCTTCTTCTCTTGCAATACATGTATATCTTGGCTCGGTGACACTCAAAACAATATATTAGGCCTATACTGAAAAAACTGAAAGGTTGAATTTAATGAAATGTATTATGTAAGCAGATTTCCCATAACTATATTAGGTTAGTTGAAAGCAATAATATTAAGTTGAAATACAAATGATCAGGTTCAACGTATTAGTATTGCTTCCAAACTAATACAGTTATGTGAAATCTGTTGACATAATACACTTCATTGAAATCAACGTTTCAGTTTTGTTTGTAAGAAGAAACCGAGGCTTGTTTAGAAAGTGAAAGATAATGGACACAAACAAAGTAATAAAGTATGGAGCATGAGTGAGGAATTGTCTGTGTGAACAAGTGAAGCTAGGGCAGCAGAGAGACATGATGGAAGAACTGCCAGAGCACTATCTGTTACCAACTGCAGTATGGGTTCACTAAACAGATGTGTTCTTTCAGAGCAATAATAAGCTGGTACCTGTCACGGCTGTCATTGCTCTCATGTTACTGTTTGTACAGCGTAAGAGTCTTCTTTAAAAGTGCCTTTTTCTGCAGTCAAGTCTTAGTGGTCATCTCACCTCTCTGTGAGCCTTTGTACCATAGCACTGAGAGAGGTAGGTGAGTTGACTTAAGGTTATTGTTGTTGATTCCAACAGATGGCCTATTATCTATGTATGGTGTAGGTACTCTCACTTATGTTCTGCTCAATGTCTGTTTAAACATTTGTTTAACACATTTTCAAACATCAGACCCGATAGAGTAAATAGAAATTATACAACATTTTCAACCAGGGCTGCTGCTGTTGCTATTTATATATAGTCTATGCTGAGGCCTCACAGAACAACTGAAATGTTGACTTTAATTAAATGTATAATATCAACAGATTTCACATAACTGTATTAGGTTAGTTCAAAGTAATACTATTAAGTTGAACTTAATATTTTGTATTTAAACTTCATAGTATTGCTTTCAACTAACCTAACAGTTACGTGAAATCTCTTGACATACATACATATATACTCTTTATATACAGATATACATAATACATTTAATTCAAGTTTCAGTTTCTCCAGTGCATGTTCCTGAGACTGCAAGAGGGAATAACATCCCAGGCACTTTAAACTACCCACAATGCAATTAGAATGATGTCTAAGATCAGGATAATTCTCATGCATTAACCTCTTCCTGTCCGGACTCACCTCCAGCCCTGCGTCGGTGATGGTGGACCTCTTCAGGCTGACGGAGCGGACCCCCTTCTTGGACAGCGGGTAGTTGTCGATGAACTCACAAATGTCCAGGTCTGAGACGCCCACCAGGCAGAAAGACTGGAAGCCCCGCAGAGCGAAGGCCTGCAGGCTGACGAACTCCTTCTCCCCACTGGGTAGTAGGGTGTACAGCTCCTTGGCGTGCAGGATCGGGGTCACCCCGTCCCAGAACTTTGGCTGGTACAGCACCTTGCGCCATGTCTTGCAGACCTGCGCCAGCACGCACTTCTCGGCCGTGGTGAAGTACCAGAGCAGCCGGTTCAGCAGCTTCTCGTCCAGCACCAGCTGGCGCTCCAGCAGCAGGGGCTTGGGGAGGGTGAGGGGGGGCAGCTGACGGAGGGACGGCTTCAGGCCCACCAGAGGCTTCCCGGGCTCCATGTCCAGCAGAGAGGAGGCTGGGTGGGGCAGGCCGGGGCCGTCCAGGTGGTGGTGGTGGTGGTAGGGCAGGGAGGAGGGCGGGGGGGGCAGGATGGAGGGTACCGAGGAGGACTGGCACAGGCGGTTCTTGGCGGCGGGGGTCCCTTTGGTGATGCTGGCACTGCCCAGGCCGTTGGGCTGGCTGGGGGGGAGCTTCACCATGCCGTTACGAGTCACACAGGGAGACTTCAGCTCGCTGGGGGAGGACATGTTCAACATCGGGAACCTGGGGGGGAGAGGAGAGGGCTGTTACACACTGAGAACATCTGGACCAGGACTTATTAAGAGGAGGGGGGGTGCTTTGGCACTATGACAACACTAATAATATACAACCTAACATGTAGCTTCCTATCAATGACATCGCAGAGAGGCTCTGGGATTCATCCAATCAGATGTGCCCTTCTATAATGTAACCAATAATGAGGAGCCAGCATTACTCCCTGTTCTTATGTGTGTGAAGAATACACATGTTGTAACTGTGGTGCACAACTGATCTAAAAACAGCTGGCTTACATTATTTTGTAACGTTATCAGTTTAGCAAAATGCTGTTACTCATTCTGATCATGTGTTCAATGTGAAGCTGTTGTTTCCATTCATAACACACGGAGGCTGTGGCGCATTGGTTAGAGCCTTGGTGTTGGGGTCATGGGGTCACTGGTTCAAACCCCACTGCACTCAGCATGTCGTTGTGTCCCTGAGACACTCCAAAGTGCTCCTGTGGGCATTGCCAGTATTGAGTAAGAAAGTTGCTTTGGATGAAAGCGTCTAACAAGTGACATGTGATGTAATAACAGTTCAAAGGGGTCTAGATGTTGAGTTCTTCAAATATAACTTTTTGTGTATGATTATTTGATCCACCCTTTTTCTATTGTTGACTTTAGTGCAATAGAAAGAATCATACGATTCTTATGTTACCCAAGTTGTAGTCTAGTAGAAATAGGTATCTCTAGGCAAAATGAAGAGATTTTTCTGCTTTGTCTGATAATAGAATGTCATTTTTTAAATTGTATTTGACCTTGTACGGTTATGGTCAAATGAAATGATGTTCTTATATATAAGCTAATTCTTGCCATATTATATACCCAGAGAACTCTTACTTTATATTGGTTGTTACCCATCCTCCTGTTACACTGCAATAGTCCAGGAATGCACTCCAGCTGTTTGCTTTGTTCTGCTCTGTCATGGTTTTGCTTTATTCAATAATGGACTAAGCTACAACTGCATTTCGACTGCCCTGTGTTGCACACTGACAAAACCTTCAGTTCCCTATTGCAACACAGTTTGCTAATAACTATTTTTTGGAAGCATCTGGAAGATTTTATACCTGGATCCATATTTGAATATACATTTACATGATCATTTTTATCATTTGGATTGTCAGTGTTGTAATTTTATTATCTTTGAATCTGTACACACCACAATGATTGCATGTCTGTTGCTCTCCCTGAGGTTTCTTAGGGTCTCTGCAAGGGTCTGTCACATACTATACACACCTTAAAGCCCCCTGAGAACATGTGTGATACTGAGCTATATCAATCAAATGTGATTAGTTGTTAAATGAAAGATAAACACACATAAAAGGATTCGGGCCCCATGTGAATTATTTTTGGAGACTTGACCAAAAGTTATTCTGAATTTAAACTTTCGATCGTTTTTTAAACTTTCTCTACTTCAGATCTAGAAGAAGAACTATTCACACCTGGCCCTAATCCTCTTCTGTACAGTTCAGACTTTGTCATGTTTTTATATTTCCCTAAACCTCAGTTTGAAGCCCCAGTTTGCAGTCGGTGAGAACACATGCCGTGTCTGTCCTCAGCTTGCTGTGTGAATGGAGGGCTTCTCTTTTGTTGTATGTGAGTGAAGCACATCATGGTGTAACTGAATGGCGTGGCCTCATGGAGTGTTCGCTGTGATCTCTGTATCACCAGCCGTCACAGACTCACTCTTATGTAACATGCTGACTACAGGGCTTCACACACAACAGCCTCTCTCTGTCCCTCTCTGCTCACACCACAAAGTGCACTCAGAACACACGCTGCTACATCCTTTTACACATATGGACAGTGTGTACAATATATGCAGATGTAAGATATTAAAAGCCCTGTTCGATGTGAAGGCATCCGTTAGCATTTCACATTTGATCACTTCCAAGTATTTGTTGTCGGCCCCTAAGCAGATGGAGCCTTGCTCTGCCTCGCTGTAGCATCACTGAGGCTCATCCATTACATCATGTAACAATGATATAATAAAGTAGACCGGCTACATGTTTGAGAGTAAAGTAACCCACCGGGGACAGATGAAGAGAAGACTGACTCAGATGTCACACGCAGGTTAAATACGATGCTGCAAATTCATTCTGAGCTAATGATTCACAGCTAAATCTATATTTACCATTCCTCCGTCTGTTATGTCATGTGGCTGCTGTGTCTCTGTGAGGGGGGGGTGCTGAAGTATCTGCAAGCTCTGCTGCATCTGATCCACCAGCAGCACCAACAGGAGACCTGGCTCTTCACAATAAAACCCTATCAGCACATATGTAACAGTCCACACTGAAAAATACACACTTAGAATGTTTCCATACGATATGCTGCTATAATAACTATGAAAAGTTTACTACTAAGATATGAGGGAGGCTGTTATGTGTCAGGTGGTCTGCTTTCTGCTCCATTTCTGAGCTGGGAGAAAAACTGCTATTATTTTGTCTGATATTGCAATTCACAACTTTGAAGTGATTGATCCTTTCCGCATCATAACTGTCATCATCATTGCAAACTATTGTATATTAACATGATCACGTGTGATCATTAAGAGGATCTGTATCCAACAAATATGTTTCGTCAAGGCCGGGATATCTCTGCTGCTCCACAGTACATTCAAAATGGTATTTGAACACATAGTTAGCAAATATTACCAAACAAATACTGTGCTTTGTGTAATTTGAATATTGCAGGAGTCCTTTGGGATTTATATTTTTGTTTTGTTTAGCTCGACTGAGCAGCCCAAACCATGATGAAGATTAGGATCTGCTTTGAAAGACTTTTTGTTTGTGGCCCATCTCAGATCTCATTTATCTTTAGCTTTATTTCTCTTTGTTGTTTTTGGTAATAAAAACTGTTTAACCTCTTTGTCAGTAACACTCTTCCATAAACACTAAAGTGTTTTTTTGAGAGACTGTTTTTAATAAATTCTTTAAGGCTAACGTGTTCAAATAAAGAGAGACACAGTAATAGACTCTTAATGAAAGTGTGTGTTAAGAGGTTCTGACATACATGGTCATTTAGGCCCCATTTACACGGGAACGGAAACGAAAATGAACCTTAGTCGATATCAAAAAAGTCTTCCGTTCACGCAATCGGCTCAATAAACGTGTGCACTCACACGAGACCGCTCGACCCGCTGGAGACACTGTAGTACATATGCCGGGCCTGTAAGTGGCGCTGTACTTCCACCACAAAATACACCAAAAGCAGCGAAGAATACTTCCGAGCATTGTTGCCCTTCTGTTTATGCCCCACGTGGATTTAGCAACATGTAGTTCATGTAGTTCTCCATGTCCACTTGTTGCTGATGGTTGTGGTAGAGGAGCTGTAGATTTTGCACTAACATCTGTAGCATGGTCAGACAGTAGCTACTGACCATGCTACAGCAGTGAGCAGCAGAGGTGGGGAGAGGCGGCGCTATGGCTTCATCGTTATCAGGAAATTATCACAGAGCCGTTAGGCCCCCCACAGCGTTCCGTCCGCAGATCTACCCACCTTGGGACCCGTTATCGTTTGAGGGGTCCGTTTCCGCGGTTCCATTATGGCCTCGTGTGAACGAACGGGCTATACGAAAGAGAAAAGTAGCAGATACAACACGAACCGTCTCAATCTAAACGGGGTCTTAATGTCGCTCGACTCAATGACCAGACCAACAAAGACCATACATTGCATCTTACAGCATGCGTGCTCACAACATAATGTATAAAGTGTTCAAACCACATGAAATGGATTTTCTACAGATCAAGGATTCCAGTACAAAATCATTGAGCAAACTACAAGTCAATACATTCCCGATAAATGCAGGATTCATACAACTGCACCATAATGTACAACTCAGATGTTCATCATGCCAATTATTCAGCGTGTTATCATTGGTATTTCTGATGATGTTTCTGCTATTTGACTATAATGTATGTGCCTTTTTAAATGCATTTTGTGAATTCTCAAATAAATAATAATCAGTTCATTGTTGTTCATTCAAAATCACCATCGGTGCGTTTATTGCACCAATTTTTAAGATGACCTCATCAACACAGACTTACTACAAAAACTGATGTGGGGCAAAGACAACACATTATGTTCAACAGAGTCGGGAGAATCAATCTGGAGTGTAGGACTCAGAGAGCTGCTGGTAGGAGGAACCAACCCTAACCCTTATCCTAACCTTAGGGTTAGGGTTAGCGCTAACACACCAACTACAAGTGACTCTTCAACCCACCCTGTACCCAGAGACCTCCGTCTGACTTGGTGTGGCTCCTCTGCTCTGCACGTCAAAGGGTCACAACCATGACACTGACCCCTGATGGGGGCCAGCAGCGTGTGTGTGTGTGTGTGTGTGTGTATTAATGAGCCGGAAATGTTATATTGCTTTGTATAAGTTCTCTAAATGCAATCCATTTAGTATTCTATGCAGGTAATTCAACTACTACCTGAGTTTCAACAGTCACATTAAAACTGTTACTAAATCAGCCTACTATCACCTAAAGAATATATCTAGGATTAAAAGACTAATGTCACAGCAGGATTTGGAAAAACTTGTCCATGCTTTTATCTTCAGTAGACTCGACTACTGCAATGGTGTCTTCACAGGTCTCACTAAAAAATCTATTAGGAAGCTGCAGCTGATTCAGAACGCCGCTGCTCGAGTCCTCACTAACACTAAGAAAGTGGATCACATCACTCCTGTTCTGAAGTCTTTACACTGGCTTCCTGTGTGTCAAAGAATAGATTTCAAAATACTGCTGCTGGTTTATAAAGCACTGAATGGTTTAGGCCCAAAATACATTTCTGACCTCCTGCTAAATTATGAACCATCCAGATCTCTCAGGTCCTCAGGGACTGGTCAGCTTTCTGTCCCCAGAGTCAGAACTAAACATGGAGAAGCAGCGTTCAGTTATTATGCTCCAAATATCTGGAACAAACTCCCAGAAACCTGCAGGTCCGCTGCAACTCTGACTACTTTTA